GCTATTATCGAGCCATTTGCATACGTTCCATTAAATCCCACCTACCTAAACCTCCATATCGGTCGTCAAACTTTACATCGTCTTAAAGTAATTCAAAGAAAATCCTTTGAAAGAGAAAAGGCGATGTGCTAAGCTTCGAAGTCTAAGTGAAAAAGAAAGTAGAATAATAAAAAGAAGGGGAGTTGGATATGACAACGATTAGAAGGAAGGTGCGGTATCGTGTTTAATTTCCAATGACTGGAGTAACATCTACGATGTGAAAGATGATCAACTAATGCGTATAAACTTTAAACAACAACACAGAACAAAATGAATCGGTATGTGTACTTGTTAGACATCGTAAATGCAGGCATATTTCACAAATTTGACGGTTTACGGATACCTTGTCCAACTTCTGAGAGGGGCAGACTGACGAAGAACGAAGCTATAATTATATTTTCTGCGTTTGAACCCAGAGGTCGTTTTTAAAAATTTTATAAGCAAATATTGTCACCATTTTTTTAAAATATTAAACTAAGGTTTTATTCAGTCATAGAGCTACTCGATATGTTCGCATATAACCAGCTGGAGTCTCTTTTCGAAACGATTTATCGTCTTCAACATGTCCTTGGGCTATGTCGTTGGGATATGAACACGTATATGCCTCCTAAAGGTCAGGAGTCTCGCGGGGAGGCCATTGCAATGTTGGAGAAACTCAAATTCCAGTACATTACTGCACCAGATGTGAAGAGGTGGATTGATGAATCCACCGCAGCACAAGACAAACTTTCTGCCGTTCAGAAAGGCAATCTTCGAGAAATGACTGTTTTATGGAAGCGTATGAACTCACTATCGGAAGATTTCTTATCTCATAAGGCTAAACTTCTTACTATGGCCCATGAGGTATGGAAAAAAAGCCGGTCTGATAATAAATTCTCCGATTTCTTACCTGTATTAAAGGAACTCGTCTTGGTTGCCCGCGAAGAAGGGACATGTCTGGCGGCGGATTCTTCACAGACCCCATATGAAGCCCTTATGAATATTCACGAGCCGGGGATGACGATCTCCCGTCTGGACGAGATTATTGGGCAAGTTAAATCCTGGTTACCACAACTGCTACGGGATGTTATAAAGAAACAGGAATCAGTAAAAGACCCCATCATTCCATTCAAAGGACCTTTTCCCCTGGACAAGCAAAACGCACTCGGCAAGGATA